CACCTTTAAGTAGCGTCAAATTGCATGTGATTGAGTTTGAAACTGTGATAACCTACTTATTCTCCTTTAAGGGATGAAATTATGATCACTGGACTACCAGGAAAAATAAAAACACACAAGAGGAAAATATAATGTAATATGAATATCTTTCAAGGGAGATAAGTGTAACATATTTTATATAAAAAGGGAGATGAGTATTTATTTTAACACAAAAGAGGAAGGTAGTGTAATATCAATGTCTCTTGAGGAGGAGTGTAATATAATTTGTACAAAAGATGAGAAAATTATATATTTTAACACAAAAATAAAAGTAGTGTAATATGCGTATCTATCGGAGAAAGAAAATGTAATTTCTTATAAAAAAAACAAATTCATTAACAAAATATATTTAAATAAAAAGTTCTTTTTAACTGATGGCAACCCAATTTATGTGAGCTCAAAGCATCAACTTGCCACATCTAAATTAAGGAATTAGAGCCGGGACAAAGGCTCCATGACATCTACCCTCTAAGGGTATTGTCCTTGCACCACTGCATGTGACTGTCGACACAGTGGAGACTTGACCACTTACAGTTTCCTTCATTGGAAATCTAAGCATTGAAATTGCAGTAATGAAGAAGCGAAACAAAAGCCACAGAAAAGCGAAACAAGAAAAAACCATGGACTGATCTTACTAGCAACAGCAGTGCGTTTCATTGATGGCAAATGAAACTGATCAGGTATTCAATCTTGAATTGTGTGAGCATCAGAGAGAGATCATGTGAATATGAAGACAAGAAGTAATTCAATTGTAAATTTTGAAAACTCAATATTTTCTTCAAAAACAAAGAGGAGCTCTAACCAGAAATATGAGTAGAAAGGTACACCTAAATAAAACTTAACTAAAAAGAAACAAACTAAATATTGATATCATAAATATATGGTAAATGAATATATTAAATGGCATTTTTCTAGTCTAATCTTAACACTAATAATTAGGGATGACAAAAAAATCCATATCCACAGATATCCATAGATAAAATCTGTCACAGATACAAAGTGGATAACTATAGATATCCACGATAAAATAAACGGATATTTAAATATTCATTTAATAATATATATGAATACGAGTTTAATAATGTCATATCCGCGGATATCCGTATCCGTTAATAAATTATAAAAATTACTTAAATATTAATTTATTATACTATATATTCCCATCTTCTAAAAAAATCATTTTTTTTTTAATTTTCCTTGAAGAAAATCTTTAACGTTCCATACAACTCATTTTGACTATTTCATATTTAACTTCTTTTTTTTACTTCATACCTCACATCAATAATTCCATCTTCCAACCAACTACTGTCTCTGTTCAATCAGTGCTTTCCTTTCTACTCTTTTGTTGTTTGTTCTTTCACCATAACTCGTAATCACATTATCTTTTGGTGAAAATGAAAAAAATTAATGTGATAATTTTTTTTATTAAAATAAGAGAGATTTGTATGGGTGTTATGTGATAATAACTTATTGTGATTTTAAAATAAGTTGAAAATATTTTTTTCAAAAACAAATTTAGAAAAAAAATGTTATCCATGAATATATATGAATACCCGCAGATATCTAAAAACTTTTAGATTGTCCGTTTAGCAGATACCCGCACGGATATGGAACGAATATGAATATCATATTTATCCAAGGGAACGGACACGAATATCATACTATTCGTGCTCATGGATATTCATTTACATCCCTATTAAGAATACTGCAATACTATTCCCTCCGTTCCTTTTTAAGTATAACTTTTTAAAGGAAAAAAATTATTTCTTTTTAAGTGTCATATTTCAAAGTTCAAGATAGTATTGATTGTAGTTTTGTCAAAATTACCCCTAATCATTATTATAGAGAGAGAAAAAAAATTAAATAAACTATTAAAAAGTTAAGAGTATATTAAAGGAAAAAATATATAATTGTTATTTAAAAAATAACAATAATCATTAGTTCTCTTGATAGGTGTAAAAAATTAAAAAGTGACAATTAAAAAAGAATTGAAGATATATACTACAGGTTGTGACTTCTCTCTTTTTTTTCTTTTAATGATTAGTGTGACTGGTAATATTTATATAGACAAAAAAACTAAAATATCAATGATATTACAAATTTATTTGTATTAATTTATTTGAACTTACTTAATAGCATGATATTTATAACTTTATTTATTTAAGAAAAATTTATAAAAACAATTTATAACATGATTTATAAGGAGTTTTCCTACTATTTTCACAAGTTTTTCAAATAATTAATTTTTTTTCTAATTTAATTCAAAATATATAATATAATAATAATAAAATTATTTATTTAAATAAATTTGTCTAATAAATTTAGATGTTTTTTATGATCCAGAGCTAATTTTTTAAATTAAATAAATTTATTAAAATGTTAGGTCTTTTATATTTTTTTTTTAAAGTTTGATCTACTATAAGTATGTATTGGTGGGATATTTTCTTTTGACTATATAGAAAATTATCCTTTTATTGAAGGGTGATAGTTGGTTGATCGTTTAGAAGAATGATGTTTATTTTGGTTGCTTTTGTCTATTGTAATCTTTTTGAATATAAGTTTACTTCAATTTTTTCTTCTTATATTTTGGATATTATTCTAGTTTTTATTTAGGGTAAGTGATGATTTTTTTAGAAATTTCTCCACGATAAGATTTCGACTAGAGAGAATTTTTGTAAGAGACAATTTATTATTAGTCTTGTTGGTATTTCTTGTGGTTTATGTATTTGGTCTAGTGAATTTGTTTTCCACTTGTAGTGTGTGAGAAAACCTGTAATATTTATATTTTCAATGGTTAGGGGAGATAATTGTCTTGCAGAAATAATATATTTTTTTGTTAAGATCTTTTCTTTCTTATGGGTTTTGGTTAGGATTAAAGGTGGGTTTATCATAATTTGTCATTTAATGGTGTGAATTATATATATGAAAATCTCGAAATGACTTTATTTTTAGGTTCGCCGATTGACGAGAAGGATATGGAAGACAATATCATCTCTCTTGCCTTAAAATGATTTCTTGATAGTCGTCGGCGTACTCTTGTTCTTTTTTTATATGACTAGTGGACTTTTTTCTTTGTCCGCGTCAATAGAAACTCAAGTGTGTCGTCTAATTTTTTTAGTGTGATTCTAAGTTGCGCTTCGAGGATATTGATATATTGACTCTGGTTCACTTTTTAAAAATCTAACTTGGCCCTTTTGACTGTTTCTTTTTGTTTTTTGAGACTTTAACTATTTTCTTTATTATTGTATTTATTTTTTGTATTTGTTTTTTTATCATAGATTTTATAATATGTTTTGGTCAATTTGTTAGTTTCTTATATCGCGCTCCCACGGAAAAAGTGTCACTATACATTAAATTTTTTTAAATAGTGGAGGTTTTAAACCCTCACAACGTATCAAAAAATAAAATAAAAATCAACGACTCACATGAGAGACCTATGAATGTTCTATCTCTCACGGTAGGCAGAGCCTTCTTTTATATATATATATATATATATATATATATATATATATATATATATATATATATATATATATATATATATATATATATATATATATATATATATATATATATATATATATATATATATATATATATATATGATATTCTTTATCTCTTCTAGTTATATAATTATTTGTCTATAAAAAAGTCACACTTTAAAAAAAATTTAATGAATACTAGTATATAGGGGTGACAAACGGACATGCCCGTCCCGTTTAGATCCATCCCGTTAAATTCCTCAAAAAATGAGATGGAGTGGGGCGGACATAGTTGAGAATGAGTGTCTAAAATCTAAGTTTGTTCCGCAAAAAAAATGAGTACAGGACGGAAAAAACCTGCAGACACTACACTTATAAGCTTAAAAATATTAAATTTTAGGCTAATACTCATGTCCGCAAAAACCCACGAAGAAAATGGAGCAGAGCGGAGCGGTTACATTAGAAAGTGAGAGCCTAAATTCTTAATCCACTCTATACTAAAGTGTGGGTAAAACGAGCATGTCCGATGGACCGAGTCCGTTTTATCACCCCTAATAATATATAATTGATACTCTAATTTTTTTTAAGCACTTTTAAAAATCTCATAAGGTTGATCAATAACTAGTTGTCACTCACGCGTTCATATCAATTTATTTCTTTTTCTTTGTCTAAATCATTCTAATTATTGCATGTTAAAATTAAGAAAAAGATTTTTGTAAAGGAAGAAGAGAGGAAGTACTACTAATTATAAAGACAAAACTAATGAAAGTACCTTTCTGTTTCTTTGTTATTTCCAAAACACTCAAAATCAAATTTTCTTTTTCTTTTTGTAACCACTAAAAAGAACTAAGAAAACAAGATGCTATGAAAAATAAATTAACTTGAAAATACAACATCAACTAGGGAAGAGAATCCATTTGCTCCATGATGTCATAATAACTATGCTGAATAATTGCAGACAGGAAAGTGGTGCTCAGTACCTCTACTTTTCTTTTCTGCAAATCTTAATAGTTGTAAATCAGGAAGGTTTTAAAAATGTTTCCCATAGTGAAAATGGTGACGACAAAACGGTATAGAAACGTGTCGATATCGATACTGTTATTTGCCGTTTTAATACTATAAGTGAATTAGTAAAAAGAAACGAGTCATGGTGACATGATGTACGTAGAAAGTTCGTGATAACACACATAGAATACTAGCTAGAATATAGCTATAGGTATAGCTATTACGTAGGTAGAGTTTTAGTTGATGAAATGTCATTTTAGGGTTAGATGAAGGATTGGGTCCCTAATATATTATGGACCCCATTATGATAAGGTTCAGAAATGTATGTCGCCAACTAGGGCATGTTATAAGTCCCTCCATTACTTTTCATCCTTTAAATAAAAGAAGAGAGAGAGAGAGAGTGTTAACATCTGTCTATTGCACACGTTAATATACTCTCCAGGCATCATCACCATAGGTGGTATAGCAAGAAAGATGGGTCACCATTCTTGCTGCAATCAACAGAAGGTTAAGAGAGGTCTTTGGTCCCCAGAAGAAGATGAAAAACTCATCACTTACATTACCACTCATGGCTATGGTTGTTGGAGTGAAGTTCCTGATAAAGCTGGTTAGGATCACATCCTTTTCTTTTTCATTCATCATCTCATGATCATGTTAATATTAATTTGATTTTTCCTTTGAAATTATTATTAGGGCTTCAAAGATGTGGTAAGAGTTGTAGATTGAGATGGATAAATTATTTGAGACCTGATATAAGAAGAGGAAGATTTTCACTTGATGAAGAGAAATTGATTATTAGCCTTCACAATGTTGTAGGCAACAGGTACTACTTCATTTCTTCTTAATCCAATTTGCATTACACTATTAATAACACTTGTTTATGATTTTTAATTCTAGTTTTTATCTCTTAATCATCAACTCTTTCCTTATTGATTTCTCTTCTTCAATTTTTCTATATTGTATTGATTGAATTGAATGTCATATACATCTAAGTATCCAACAAATAGCCTATTCCATAGATATTTTTCGGTTTCACCCGCTAAACGAGGTGATAAGTTGTTTTTCACATCGGCCAGTAGCCTGATATAAAAGTGACAGATTTACCATAACACCTTACGTTATCTCAGAAAGCTAACCGATGTGAAAAATCTATTCCATCCAATGTAAAATATCTTTTATGTTGTAGTGTAGTATATAGAATACATTGAATTTCAATTAGGTTTTCATGAATAGGTTTGAATCAGATTTTAGGTTAATCTTGCTTGATAGATATAAGCTTTGTAGATTTTGATCTTATATTTTGTGATTGAATGATTATGGGAAATGTGCATGCAGATGGGCTCACATTGCAAGCCATTTACCTGGTAGAACTGACAACGAAATAAAGAACTACTGGAATTCATGGATCAAAAAGAAAATCAGAAAGCATAACTCACCTTCTAATTCATCAACCACCACCAATATTACACAAAACCATGTTCTTGATTATAATTTCAATATCAATAAACTAGATCAGAATATTGTAACAACACCAAAACCATCACCATTTCAAGAAACAACCTTGTTTTCTCCCACATGTCCTTTGTTTATGTTCGAGCCTAATTCACTACACGGAACAACAACAACAACAGCAGCAGCAGAAGCAATACAAAGTAGTAGTAATAATCTGCAAACCGATCAATACTTCCAAGATTCTTTACTAGGTTTGAACTCGGAAACATGGAATCAAGTTCAATCATCTTCACTACCTCCTCCAATATCAACAATTTTTACAATGGACACAATGAATTATCTACCACCTTTGATAGAGAATGTGGAAAACATGGTGGATGAGGAAGTCGGCGATCATCAACAAGTACAAGAGATGAATAACATTGATCAATGGCATCATCAACAATATCCTAACAACAACTTTCTTTTCTGGGACAACATTGTTCATCTCAGTGGGGAAGAACAACAGCTAGCACCAAATTCATCATCAAATATGGGAACAAACAGTACAACACTTTCTCCTTTTCCTTCTTCATCTTTTTGAGAGTTAACAATTAATAATTTGTGAAAAACACTGTCCCTACTTTTTTTTTATCTTCTTTTGACATTTCTAACTAGGAAAAAAAAATTCATGATGGTCCATGCCAGGCTTTCGGAAACTTGCAGGGATTCTTCTTTTTTCCTTTTGATGATATCTTTTTCAATTTTCTAAGTCCTTTTGATTGCTGATTTGAATGTAAAGATTGTAAAAAAAAGTGAGTGAAGTAAGATATATGTCATGTATAGCCATGCATGGGTGAGGATTATTGGTGTGTGTTTTCAGACCCTTTAGAGGGAATAATTATAATTATAATATTAATAAAGGTGATTGGTACTGGTAGGTAGAACTTAGCAGAGTTTAAATTTGAAGATGATATATTATGATAATAACATATATATGAGTTTTCATTACATTTCAATTTAATTTCTTTTCTAATGCATCTTCAATTTATTTTTAATCAGCAGATGAAATGGTAATAATCACTTAAAAAATTTACAGTTATCTGATGATAGCGTCTAATCTAACTATATCGACTTCAATCAGTTGAGATAAGATTTAATACATCTTCAATTTAGTGCTAATTGTGATTGACTATAGATGTGGTGATTAATTGATGAAATTTGAAGGATAGTAGCTCTTTAAATTTTGATGTCTAATAAGTACACTACCAACCTGTCTTTTGAAAAATGAAAAAAGGATCAAATAAAGAAAGTAAGAGAGAAAAAGCATTGACTTATGATCACATGCTTGTCCCCAAATTACAAGTTCCATAAACACCAAAAGCAGAATTGAGAGAGAGAAGGGACGTGTGTCAGGTATCCATTATCTGACAGCATATGCATACCCACACCACAATTTTCCCCCTCCTTTCTACAAGAAAATGACCATTTTACTTAGTCCATGTATTTTTATTGTCAAATATAACAAATAGATAATAGTGATATTTATATATTAATTAGAGTTCTCCCTTTATTTATCTAATACAAATTTGTTATTAATTAAAAATATAAATTAAAACATAATAATCAATGATCCTTGGAAAATTAAAAATAGTAATCATTTATAAATAAATTTGTTTCTTTTAAACGTTAAAAGGATAAGAGATTGGAAAAATTCATATTGATCTTATGGAACTTATGCATTTTGAGAGTCTTGGAACTCTTTGCCCCCTCTTACAATGTGAAAAGGAATAAGAGATCGGCAAGATCATTCGCATTTGAAACGATTATAGCAGAGAATTTGAGAACTCCAACTTCTCTTCTTTATACATTGTTAAAGGAATTGTTCATGAGTTCTCTGCTCCGTACACCTCATTAGAATATGATTGTTGAAAGAAACAACTATACTTAAGCATCTTTCATATCACTTTTGGGCAAAAGCAATGAATATTACTTGTTATATTCACAATCGAGTAACAATTCAATCATGTACCAAGGTTATTCATTATGAACAATGGAGGGGGAGAAAGCCTAACGTTAAATGTTTCCATGTGTTTGGTAGTACTTATTATATTCTTACTAATTATGAACAAAGAAGGAAATTTGATCCTAAGAGAGATAAAAGGCATCTTTCTGGGTTATTCCATTAGCACCTGGGCGTATAGGGTGTTCACTAAGCGTGCAAAATCTATTATGAAATTCATAAATATCAATGTTAATGATGATCAACCTAAAGTGACCCCTACTAAGATGAAGATTCTAGTCCCACTGGTCAACATAACGTACAAGATGTTCTAGACAATATGGAGAACAACTTACAATCCGCTGAAGAAGATGAAAATTTAGATGATGATAAGAATAACGCTTCTAAAAGAAAAGAACAATTATTAAAGATCATGAAGAATCATCCTATTGAGAGCATTATAGGAAACCTAGATGAAAGAGTCACACAAAGAAAATAACTAGTTAATTATAAAGAGATGATACTGAATATGTGTTTTATTTCAAAAATTGAATCCAAGAATGTGAAAGAAGTCATTAATGATGAACTTTGGGTAAATACTATGCGTGGTTATCTCAATAGGGAAATTGATCAGACTTTGTTTGTGAAGAAGGAAAATGAGAATCTTTTGATAGCTCAATTATATGTTTACGATATTGTTTTGGAGGGATGTCAAGTATAATGGTGGATCATTTTGTCAATTTGAAATTATCATGGTTAGCGAGCTTACTTATTTTATTGACACAAACACACATTTGATTCCACTCATATCAAACTATTAAAAGATGAACAAGGAGTAATTATTGATCAAAGTATCTATCAATGTATGATTGGTAGAATTTTGTATCTCACTTCCAATTTTCTTGACATTACTTTTTATGTAGGCGCGTGTCCTTGTTGTCAAGCCAATTCGAAGATCAGTCACCTTACATAGGAGTGTGCCATTGAATACATAAGTCGAACATTTGACTATGGACTTTTATACTCCTTCGATACAAACTCATCTCTGGTTGGTTATTAAAATGTTGACTAGGAAGGCAATGTTGAAGATCTGAAAAACACATTCGGTGGATGTTTCTTTTTAAGGAACAATTAATCTTTTGGTTCAATAAAAAGCAGAATTAGGTTTCCCTTTCAATTAGTTGCATTTAATTATTATGAATAAAACAAATGCTAAAAGAATGTAATGTGACACTAGATGTCATGACATTATACTGTGACAACTTCAATGCTATCAATATCTCCTAAAACATGTCTAACACAACAAAATCAAAAATATTGATATTTGTCATCATTTCATCAAGCAACTAGTTAAAGAAAAGAAAATCACCCCTAAACATGTTCAAAGAGAAAATCACCCTTAAGCATGTTCGAACAGACAAACAATCGGTTGATATATTCACAAAAGCTCTTAATGTTGTAAAATTTGAAAATATTTAATCAACTTTAGGACTTTGTGTTATTATCTTATAGTAGTTATTAAAAGTGTGGCTGAATGGGTTTTGGGCCTACTAGAATCTTTATCGGCCCACACATCACAAGAACGGTGTCACTTACTTATATCCTTCAACCCAACACAAAAATATCAGTTTATATAAATGTTCAAAAAGTACACATTCTTTATTTTTTGCTTTTGTGCCTCAAACTTCTCTTCAACCCTAAACTTTCCTCAACAAATGTGTTGAATCTCTCGGACAGCATAGTGGGAGCAAGGAGAGGGATGAACATTTATATAAATGATAAGAAGACCTTAAAAAAGAAAGCCTACAAAAAGGATGTTGTTGTTAGAAATTCTCATGGAGTTCGTAAGGGCGTAACGATTGAAGGAAAGATTGTTGGTATATTTAGAGGTGTAACCAATCCTAAGGAGTTCAAGCGTAAGACTTTAAAAAGGTAATTGATCATATTCCTCTTTCTGTGTCTGACCTAACCGGTGGTGTCACTGAACCACTTGGGAACATTGAAGAATTCACTGAACCTAAAGAGGCTCACAGTCCTCTTTGCGTTGTTGTCAACACTGAGAGTTCTCATATTGAAGATCCTCTTACTTTTGTTTAAGGTAAACCCTCTGAGTTTGTTATCTCTATTGAGAATATTGTTGCTAGTAAAAAGAATCAAATTGTATATGGGAGACAATATGGAGATGAGACGGTCTAGAAAGGGGTTTGAATATACCTGTTCGTTGTAAGAATAAGATTTGTTTTGTATCTAGCCTTGAGTTTTGATGATAACATTACATGGGTGATTATATAACAATTTAGTACCCTAATGGTTTGTTCAGTGTGTAGCTTTTGCTAACATGTTCTGACTCTAAAGAAGTGATGTGTGACTTCATCAGATTCTGGACTCAACACACTAAAGAATACAAGTTTATGTTTCATAGTTTAGAATGTGTCATAAAGCAACGATTCTAACGAACGTTAGTTTTATTGCTTCTAACTATGACCCGGTTCTAGAGCTTATGATATGTTCTCAAGCTTTGAAAATTCCATGTTCTCTTGCCTAGAGCTGGAAAAATGGGTCGGGTCTGCCGGATCGGGCTAAAAAGCCTGCCAAAATAAAGGGCTTAAACAAAAAAATTAGGGTCTCATTATTATCCAAGCCTTTTAGCTCGATCCGTTTAAAGCTCGATGTTTAACCAGGCTAGCCCGACCGGGTTGCGGGTAGCCCGATTAATTTTCTTAATAATAAAAATAATTTAAAATGAAATTCTAAAACAAACTAATAAATAAATTTAAAAACTATGTTTGTTTAAATGAAAAAATTTGTATTAGTTGCTGGCCCAATCCAACAAATCTAATCTATCCAAATTCTGCCCAACCCACTTTCTTGTTGAGTCGTGAGTGAGTCTATGACTTAGACTTGCTTCTACCGTTCTACTACTTCTACAAGAAAAAGAGAGGAATATTTCTTCACTTTTATGAGCTTGCTACTACGAGATAAATAGAAGAAGCTTTCAGTAACCATAGAAACCAAACATCATCATCGTTGCCGCTCGAAAATAAGCACAAGCTTCTCTTATATGATGTAAGTTAAACATTATATCTTGTTAACACTACTATGAAAAAGGCTTTTAACAACAGTTGGATTAGGTATATAATTAGAAGGTCCATGCATTGTTGTCATACCCTAATTTTTTACCTAGGATCCCACTTCCTTTTGCATCATTGCATAACATCAAGAGATCATCTCATTCATCTTTGCATCACTAACAAAATACAAAAAAAAAGATATCTTGTTGTGCTTGCTTCTTGTGTAAGACAAGGTTTTTGAATCAAGAAACATTGGAAGTACAAGTGTTGATCAGTTAGGGTTTTGAATTCGTCCTCAAGATTCAAGATTCACTTTCATTCATAGTGATCGAGTGATTCCCTCCATCAACATTCAAGTTTGTATATCAAATCAAATCAAATTCATCAAGACTCAAAGCATTGTATACATTAATTAGGGTTTTAACCAAAGTCAGTTAATTGTTGACTTTTTAAACCAGAGTCAGTTGATTGTTGACTTTGTTGGGGAAAGTAAAATTCCACTAAGTGTCAAAGATATCATGTTCAAGTGCA